ATTATAACCTACTTCTTGTTACAGTAAATCATAATCTCACCAGTGACATGCAGAGAATAAGAAATTGATTATCCTCTAATTATCCAATAAACAGATATATCAACACCACAAGATTATCAAGAAATATAAAGATCATTTGTAATTTAACCAAGGTTAATAATTCCCATTGGAAATAAAGTAAAATAAATGAATTAAATAGCAATAATAAAGATATGTGTTAATTACTTAATCGATGCATTAACCCTTTACTTGCCCGGCAACCTTACACAACGTCTAGTGGGTTTTTTGTTCTAAGTTGATTTTTGCATGTTTGGCTGACGAGTCAGATTGTGGAATTATTTTCCGAACAAACACTAATATAAATTTAAACTATAAAGAATAAAATAATTTTTAATTTTACGGAACTAATATTCATTCATAAAATAATTTTGTCATAAAGATAATCATGACAAAAGTAATGTTGTTCATAACAGTTATAAATGTAATGAATAAATAAATTGTAATATAGTTTTTCTTTATATATAAAAATAACAGTAGACATAAACTATAACATTAAAAACTTCGCGTGAAACTAAGATCATTATATTTGAATATTAAGGATATTCCTCTCTTCATAAATATCTCACAATATTTAAAAAGATCATACCTTTAGACTAATTTTGTTAATTTAGACTAATTTCTTTGCAAATTGTCTTACATTATTATTTTACTATTCATTAAAAAGGTATTTCTATAAATTTAAGAAATTAATTTTTTTAATAATAATTTATAATTTATTTATAATAAATATTTATATAAATATTTATAATAACCATATTTTTAAAGAAAAAAATTCATTTGTTTTTCATCATAAATATTAAAATTGGAATGTAATAAGCCAACAGTCTTTATAAACATAGTTTATTTTTAAATATGTAGTTATTGATTTGTATGATTACTACAATAAAAATGCGATCTTTAAGAATACATTACAAAAATTATATAACTACACTTATAATAACTATAACTTTTAGACACGCATATATATATGCTTCGATAAATAAGAATCTATCGTTAAAACTATAGTATTATTTATTATTAATCATTCAAAATATGTATCCGAAAAAATTATCCGAATTATTGAAAATATTTCAATACTTATATAAAATGATATTGAATAAATCAATATTTAATCAAATCAATTAATGATTATGCAAAGATATATAATATAAATGATAATTAATATTTAAACGCCGAGTAAACTGTGTTTTCCATATTCGCCCATAATTTGTATAAATTGTGATATTATTGTTATTTTTTAAATTTTATATATATATTTCAATCACTTTCTTTATTAAATTTTTTCACGCCGTTATTCCATCGCTATCCAGCACCTACGATTTTCTAAATCTTTTTTCTTTCATATAACTTTTTAAAAATTTGTTTTCATTTGTTTGTAATTTTATTAGAAAGTTCTAGTGATGAGCAATTTAATACGTCAAGATTAACTATCTAATACGTCCTTTTTTTCTCTTCGTGATCACACTGAGTACATATGTTCTTATTGTAACAATACTATTCAGTACTATATATAACACTTTTTAATAAACTTTTAATAGATTATAATCAAAAAGATAAATTAAATATAAAATACCATGCAACTGAAGAAATATTTAGAAATCCGAATGAAATATATTTCCCAGAATATTTTGATTAAGACAAGTGTTCGCTAATTTACTTCAATATTACATCGTGGTATTGAGTTATAATAAGTAGCCAAACATTCAGTAGATGTTTGGATTAAAATTTGCCTCACAGATTGATCAGAAACTAAAAAGAAAAAACATGAAATAAATTAAACTGAAAAATTGGACTGATTGTTTATCAAATCAAAAGGATATGAGGCACGACGGTGATCTCATCGTTCTCATTTGTCATTTAAATGAAAAATAATGCGTGAACGCTCACGAGTTTCCGTGTAGATCGTAATTGGAATGTCTCCATATTAATTCGTCACAGAATATGCAGATGATAATTGGATATCGAGAAATGCAAGATTCATGTATTACTCAATGCTAGAAACAGGAAACAGAAATATTAAAATTGATAAATTGACGTTAATTCTCGGGAAAAAGGCACCTCAAATAAAAAAAGAAAGCCGATGAACGGACATTTAAAAGCGCAAAATTTTCTGTACTATTGAAATCATTTTTTATCAAATATGTATGTTCGAATCATCAAATATGATCGTCATTGAATTTAGTTTTAACAGCTTTCATTAACTTGTTTTATTATGTAGACTGGTTATATTTAATAAACATTCATTTTTCATTTGATGTGATCTACAAAAAATTACAAATTTTCAAGAATTTTTAAAATGATTGAAATTAATAGAATTAAAATATTTAAATAATTATAAATTTTTTAAATTATGAACTGAGAAAAATGAATTTCAACTTGTGAATCATACATTCTATATTTTAAATGTGAACCTAAAACAGAATTTTTACTAATATAGGATAAGTATGATTGATGTAACAGTTATAGCAAAAATTGCTAATGAATATTTCTATCTATTAAAAAAAAAAAATTTTTTATGTAATAATCAGCATAGTAATAATTATAAAAAAATATTTCACAATAATTTATCTTTGAAATATAAGAATTCTTTTTTTTAATTCTATTGTTATTTATTATACATATGTGTATAGCTCAAAATATTTTTTGAGATTTTAATTTTATATATTTATATAGTTACAGTTCTGTTGATTTTGATTGGTATCGGAATAGCGATAGGACTCGTAATTTGTCGAAAGCAAACAAGTCTACCACAAATCGAAGGCCTGGATGATTTCACGACGCCAACATACGTCTCAGCCCAGAGAATTGAACCCAGGATCAGATACGGCAATGATAGGAGACGATCCCAGCACGCTAGTCTCTATATGGAGGAATATCGAAATGGTAAGCGAAACACAATTAGTAAATAAATAATGGTTACAAAAACATATAAATATCTTTTATGTTCATCTTAGAACTGTGTTATTGTTTTTATTAATATTTATTATATTGTGTAGTCTCTTAAAGGTTTAAGATTTACACTTGTATATATGATCCGAACATTTTATTTAAAATGTATAAATAATTTATTACAATAAATAACACATAATAAGTTTGCTATTTTTAAATTTCACTTTTAAGTGAAATGAATTTAATATTTGAAAAATACAAAATTATATGTCAATGTATGTAGGTCATGTGTCAGGAAACTTCACCGATCATAAACGAGGCATGATTAAATTCATTCGACGTGGAAATGAATAAAGTTTTATATTATTTCAAACGTTTTTATACTTAAATTATTCAAGCATTAATTTAATTTAATTATAAAATACAATATTGAAACATATTCTGCTTTTTTCATATATCAAATTAAGATATTAAATATTCTAACAGATTTATTCATTGAAGAATAAAAAAAAAATTATTTACTTATTAATATATCTATGATTATAAAGCATTCATAAAATGATACTAATAAATTATTTTTAATAAAAAAATGCTTGACATCTTATATATAATAAAAGTAAAGTTGGTTAATGTAACGTAAATTTTTGTTAGTTATGGTATTTTACTATGGATATCCCTAATAAGTCGCATTCAATGTTTAAATATGAATTCATGTATTCAAGATTTTTAAATTATAAGAAAATCGTTATATTATCACAAATTTTATTTATTTACCATGAAATGTAAAAGGGAAAATGGTTAAGAAAAGATTCAATTTAATAGATTGTTCCATATAAAAACCGCAAGATAAAAAATTTGAATGAAATCTAATCAGAATGAAAAAGATGAAATATTACTTTGTGTTCAAAATATTTATATAAATGCATGTATATAAATACATGTAGAATACTTATTATACGTTCTTAAACTTTCCAATTAAATTAATAAGTATTTGAAGATTTATAATTTATAAAAGCCAATGATATGAAACATTAAAGTGTATAGTTCCTATAATGTAATTTAAGAGCTTGATTTCTTATAGAATGAAATTCAAATGCGTTGGTTTTTCGCTTTTGACTTCAGGTGAACGACGATAATGACATAAAATATTTGACCAAACAACGAGTGTAATTTTGTATATCTTTCTTGTACTTCTAAATGGGTGCAATCAGTGATTATACTTCTTCATTAAATAAGACAATAGAAAATAGAAACTCTAATATAGTGAATAAGAATTATCGTTATTTAAAAAGATGAAAGAACATGTTTCAACAGAATGTATTAATTTCACTTCTGTATCATTTCGAATAAATACAATTGTACACGTCAATGTATACGGTAATAGCCAATATTTTTTGTAATAAAAACTTGAAATGAATTAGTAATTACAAATGTCTAAAAATGAATTCAACTTTTTAAACTCCAATAATTATTCAAATATTATTTACATATAGTTTGTTGTATTTTTTAATAGTACTTTTGTAGTTTTATACATGTTCTTGAAGACTATAATTGTATTTACATAATATAAGTTAACTTAGTAATATCGGATATAAATTTTTTATGAAAATAAACCAAGTATATTATAAAAATTAATAATATAGTGTATTATGAAAAATAAACTTAAGTATAGCATATGTATAATATTCTGATTTAATAGTTATTCAATTCATAATATTATAACAATATATATAATTCGTTTAAAGTTACGTAATAATATTAAATAATATATTTAATCTAATAAATTATTTTTACATTTAGAAAATAGTAATTATACAATTGTTAAAATTACAGCAAAATAATTATAATTTTTATTATATATAATTATTATATATTTGAGCACATACTTTTTATATGTTCATAAGTAATTATTATTACTTGAAACTGCTTTGTTCAATCGAAAATTCGTAAGAATAGAAAAGAAAATCGATCTACATATTATGTTACATATTAGATTTTATACTAAGTCATGATAATACATGCTTTCTTAATCAAATTATTAAAAATTTATATTTTAAATTTAAAACATATATATAAAATATAGATACAATGTTTAATTTTTTTCGAAAGGATAAACATATTTGAGTGAATGGTGGTTACGCAGCCAAAACTAATAAATTTCAATTTCATATACTTGGAATTAATAACATTGATTATTAAAATACGTTATAATTTAGGATTCGTTTAAAATTAACATAAAATTTGTGGCAATAAAATTAATGCAGAATAGTCATAATAATATAGTCATGATAATATAGGTATGAAAATTAAAAATGTATCTATTTTATTTGCAATTCTTTAAATTTTAGTAAATAAAAAATTTAATTTGAATGAAAATTATCTATGTAAAAACTAAAAAATATAAACATATTAATTAATACAAATCATTATTTCTGAAATGATTTTGCTTAATATTTATATTATCGAATTCATAATTTCAATTATTTTTTGATTGAGTTTATTTTAATTTAATTTAATTTTCTTTATTAAACTGTTTAATTTATTTTATTAAATGCCATTAGTAATGAAATCGAATTAATTAATTATATGATCAGATTATAATTTAATTAATATTAAAGTAATATTCAATTATTAACAATATTTTTTCTATGTATTAAATAAAAAAAATTTAATCTAATGATTATATTTTAGATAAAGTATTTATTTTAAATATTTTAAATATAAATTGAAATTAAAGTAAATGATATTAACTAATAATTAAATTTATACAACAAAATAAACAAAATAAAATAAATATAAATACTTATAGTAATGTGTTTATTTATTTATGTTATACAATTCTATTTTATTCTTCATTTAAAATAAATATTTCAACTTATTGAATTAAAAACTAAAGTAATAAATTATCATTGCTTTTTATATATTATAATGATCATTTTTATGCTGAATAATTTACAAGTAATAAATAAGAAGTTGATTATTTCAAAAGAATTCTTCATTTTAACTTTATTATAGAATATAAACGTATACACTGTTAATTATATATTTGAAAATTTCTTAAATTTTTAATATATATAATAACTGTGGTATAATCTGATACAATATGTACATAATATAACATGCAATATCCATTTAAATAAAAAAAATTATAATTTTTGAAACTTTAATAATATATTAATATACTTAGATTATGTATGAGTAGATTGATTTAATTAATTCCTCATTAAATTAGTATATGTGTCAGCAACAAAATGTGTTAGGATATTGTTCAATTTTTAAACCAAAGAGATTCAAATACTACACTCTTTTTATATATATATATATATATATATATATATAAATAATAATAATAATTATTATTATTATTATTATTATTATTATTATACTCCGGATATAAAGTATATTAACTAACATCAACATCGTTTTAATTAATTTCCCTGCTGTCCCGGAATTCATAACTTCCTCAAATCTGTGTACATGGGTTTGAAAAACAGTGAATGAAATATGCTATGATAGTGCACGCATACAGTTAGAGACATCATGAAGTAAAGCTATTGAACACATGATTGAATTTGACATGGAGTTGGGAGCCTCGATTGCATCTTCGATTAGCATTTGATTAATTTCACGGTACCTATAACACGAGGTCATGAAGTCGATTCCCTTTCCCTTCCACTAGCCTTCGGCTCACTACCACCCCGCTATTACCCATCATCGCCACCAAATTTCGCCGTGGTGAAACTGTTTCGAAACAAGGGAGTGAGCCGTAGCAGGACTGAACTATGAAACTGTGTGAGTCTAGCTCTCACCGCATGCCGAGAGTTAGTAACTTTTGCAGTAGTAAGTTTGCGGTGATAACAATCGACGGGACAAAACAAGAGAACTCTCAGCAAGCCCATATATAGCACATGAAGTTAGTCTTGAAATCTAATTCCTGTTGTATAGAAAACTATTCGAAACTGGTGACCGATTCTTGAGATAAGTGGTAGAATGAGAAGTATCTATTCGTCGTTTGCGTAGCTGCATATGCAAGCGCGAGTGAATGTGTGTCTACGCAAGCTTGGCGGGGCAGTCCAACGATGTTTCAGACACTGTCTTCCTGCTTGCCTCTGCTGCCAGGCAATTTCAAGTTTTCAATGATAGCATATATATCTGCCTCGAAATTACGCCCCACGATTTTCCATTTATCCAATTACAGATACTTTTATTTTCAATGATTTGAAGCCATTCCCTCTTAACCTTCCAACCTCGCCCTAAACAGATCCTTTGCAAATCAATTTAACACTCAAATTTCTCATATTGATTTAGTATCCTTGATGCTGAAAAATGATAGAAATTTTTAATATAATAATGCCATACCCGAAAAAATATTCTAAAAAAACTACAAAGTAATATACTGTTTATAAACTGTTCTTTAATTAAATTTTATTCGAGATCCATTTAAATCCAATTATTTTTAATTTTATTAGTTGTCTAAATTATTATTAAACTCATTTTCTATTTTATAAAATAACCATTCATACAAAATTATTTTACAAAATAATTTAAAAATTACATGATATTACTAAAAGTATTATAAATAAATTTGAAAAAATATAATGTATAATTTTATAATTGTTAATAAAAGCTGACACATAGTCTATAATTCATGTAATAGACAAAATTTATAATTATAATTCATATAAATGCCATTCATAATAAATTCTATTTAAAATGAATGGCATTTATCTGAATTATATCGAAATTTGTATAATAAATGATATCTATTAATATAATATTAAGGAAAATATTAAAAAAATTTACTTTATAGCATATTAATAATTAATTCATTGTGTTAATTAATATAACACAATCATAATTTACATAAAAATTAGTTAAAATAGCATCTTCATTTTGAGCATATTAATTCACAATTATATTTTTATTGCAAATTTTTTAGTATAATAGTGTTGATATTACTAAAATTTCAACAAGCTTTAACCGAGCAGTAGAATTTTGTAGTATTTAAAATTTGGCGTGGAATAATGTATCATTCTATAGCCGATCATTTATTCAGACAATTTTAAATGGTATTTTTTAGTTTTTGAAACTTGATAAAATGTGAAACTCAATAGAAAAAATATATAATTTATAATTTTTTCATATTATTTTCAACGCCTTTTTGTGCATTATAGATTAAAACAATTTTTCATATAACTTTCAAAATACGGTTATAACGATATTGAAATAATAAAAAATTTAAAATTTCTATACAAAGAAATATATTGCAATAACAACAAACTATTAAAATTAAATTTTTATTGCAGAAAATTCAAATGATAAAATTGTGTAATATTGCAAAACTAAAGTATTTATTAGAAAAGAATTTTAAAAACTATGTATTTTATTTATTAAAAACATCTATTATATGTATAGATGTTACTTTAATTAATATTGATAGTGGTAATTATGTTTCTATAAATTTTTAAAAGTAATTTAATTATTTTTGTTACAGAACCTGATTTATTGCAACAAGTCGACATTGATTTACATAATTAAATATAAAATAACAGATTCTATTTTTGTACAGATAAAGGACCTTATTTGTATTGCATTATATATCTAAGAAAAAAATCATGATATAATTGCAGCTGAACTATAACTGTACCAAATTATTTATGCGTAACTAATATTCGTGGATATATTTGAATTTGAAGTAGAGCCCATGAAAATTGAACAATTTAATATTCGTCGAAAATTATATTAACTTAAAATTTTTTGGAAATTTTTAAAAATATTTGTTGAAATGAATAAAATTATGAATTAAAATATCTAAAAATAATAATGTATAAAGAATCTCCTCGAAATAAGTTAATGAATATTAACCTTAGTTATATTTTGGTTTAATTTATATTCTATAACATTAATATTTTTACTGCGATGAATGCAGTATATAAATGTACTTCACTATTGTATAATATACTCTACATGTATTATATGCAGTTTATACCAATTGAAATATAATATGATAATTTTATGCAATTAAATATTTAGATCATTATAAAATTTAGAAATCAAAAAAAATAGTTTTTAACTAAGACAATTTTTAAATTCTTATTAATAATAAAACTTCAATATATGTATATATATTTTTGTGTGCGTATGTGTGTGTGTATATGTGTATGTGTATGTGTGCGCGTATGCGTGTAAGTATGTTTGTATGTATGTATGTACATATTTATGTTTATATGTATATTTCGAACAGATTAATTGAAAAGTGAGAAATCAAGATATAAGAATTAATTATACATATCAATCAAGATGATTGGATCAATATAGTCATATCAAATATTTTACATTTCATGTAATCGATGGTTTCTATTTTATAGATGAATCGATCGCAATCGAAAATTGAAAATTCTATTCGCATTAATGTCGAGGAATAAGTCAAACGTAGACTTATCTTCGTAAAACCCTTTGAAATTTAAAGTGAATATCAATCAATAATAATAAGTCAGCAATATGCCTTTTTAGCACTGTTTCCTACAAATTATTTCATAAGAGTTTCAAAGTAAAATCTTCTGGTATTAGTATTAAATTATACAAAATAATATTTACATATTAGGGATCATTAAAAAAATTTTATTTAACAAATATACGTATGAAGTTCATTTTCATCACATACAATAATTAATAGAGTACGAGAGTACAATAGTAATGATAATTATATTTTCGAAAATTGAAAGAATATTTTCTTAATTCTGTCAATATTTAAATTTATAATTAATATTTCATAATTGATATTTAATAATTACAACGTTTAATGGTTAATAATTAATACTTAATCAATAAGTGATACAAATTTTAATTAAAATTTAGTAGCAAATATTAGATATATTACCTCGAAACTAAAACTATATATTTTTGGTTTCTCTTTCAATGAAATAATGATTATATGATATAATCTACATGAATTATATTTTTTAATTATATTAAAATTATACAGAACCAATGAGCAATTGATATAATAAAAACATGTATTGTAAAATATGTATTGTAAAATAAAAACATATTAAAATGTAAATATATATATTTTATTACTGATGTATGATGAATGCTTAAAAGTTTGTTTTTATTTATACAAACCATATCGATTAAAATTGTATATACACTTGATTTTAGTAAAGGAAATTAAAGTCGATCGGGATTTTTTCATAGAATATTTTCCTATATGTTAGAAAAATGTATATTGTCGCAATAGTTGTATATCCAAACTCTACTGTCACTGTATAATAAACTTATTTTTGTAAAAAATGAAATCTCTAACTTACATAAGTAAAATTATCCGCCTATCATTGATGTACTAGTTTAAATAACTTAAAAATCGATTTATATAATAAATCTTTATCTAGATATAATTTGTTAAATATTTATATCTGAAAAAAATCAACCTCCTTCCATAATTAAATAGAAAATATAATCTCCATTGTTCAAAGTTATAAATAAGTAGTTAAGTAAGAAAAGCCAATGAAGTAAAAAAATTAATAATTCGGTAAGTACAAGATTCGGTTAGTCAAGAATATATTATAAGTCTATATATGAAATATAACAAAGAATTGCTGGGGAAGGCAATAGGTTAAGATCCGATTAAAAAGCTATCGACACCTTAATATTTGAATAAATTATTTAGTTACTTTCTAAATGAATTACACATTTGAGACATAGGTTGTACTATTACATGAAACTCTAGTATGTTTTTCATGCATATTATCCTAGCCATTTGTCTATTACTCAACTAATTTTCTCTGTTAATCAAAAATAGTGTAATAAATACATGAAAGGTCGAAATATATATGTGTATATATATTTTCACTGAGAAATTGAAATTGTTTATAAGTTTATTGGACGCTATAAAAATTAGTACATATATATACGAAGTATGAAGAATACTAATTGTTCTATTAAGCACTAATTTTCTATATCATTATTTTACTCTCTATTTATTCTCTACATACATATGTACATATATACAAAAACATGCACGCTATTATGAAAATCAATACATTCATGTCATAAATATAGTGATATATTTATAGATATTTCTCATTCATGTACTCTTACGAAATTCATTTATTATTTCTTAACACCGTAAAAAAAAAACAATTTAATGCCAAAAAATTCAAAAATTAAGTCATAGACTGTCGATATATGTGACGGTATGTGTAATGAGGCTCATGCAGCATCCATCCAAACAATAAATCTAATTTACATGCTACGTAAAAATTGATTCACTGTATATGAATATTCTTACGTATATATGAGAAGAGAAAAAGATAAAATAAAAAATAAAATGTATGTTAGAGCAATCGTTGATTTAATCTGTGTATCTATGAATTATTATTATACTCATTTGTTTTATTATTATTACATTTTTATTATTTTTTTTTATTTAATTTCTTTAATTATTATATAATAATTTTATATTATTATTTAATATATTTAATATTATTTAATATAATAATATTAAATTATTATTACACTCATTACAATACATTCCTCGTTCGTAACTTATATAGATATGTATGCAAGATATATTATTAGATAATATTGAATATATCTTTTACGATATGTATTAAGCCAACAAATAAAAAAAATCTTTATCTTAAAAATTTAAGTAAACCATATTTCAATATAAAGCAAAATATCAATTTATTATAATATGTAATTACCTTTCAATTACTTTAATACAAGATTTGAATTAATCCTGAGTATACATTTTCAAATACGGATTGTATTAAAATATTTTTATGGATTTTCATAATAATGACATATAAACATACCTACGTATGACATTTTGAAAAATATATGTATAAATCGTATTCAAATCAATAATTATGTAAACACTAATTGAATATATAATCTAATCCTAGAAAATATTGAATGTGATACTTTTTCTAGTCAAATATAAACTGCTAAATTATTATTTTCTAATTGCATATAAAATTTCAAATTAATTTCCGTAAATAATTAAATCATACTTTTAAATATGTGTTATTGATTTATAATAATTCTTAACTGTTTATTAAACTACATATTGAATTTAGATTATTATTATATTATTATATTAATTTATATTATATTTAAATATATATTTAATATATATTTAAAAGATTAATAAGTAATTGCTGAAATTGGAGTATCACATAATAAATAAATAGTTCCTCAATACTAAAATATTTATAATGAAAAATGAAATATTTGTATTAATATTTGTTCTTGAGTAATATATTTACAAATTTATAAAAGAACTAATTGATTACAAATTAACATAAGCAATTTTAACCAAAATTATATTAATAAAAGTTAAATTTAAATGTATAAATCAATTATTAATTAATAATGCTAAGTAAATATTACCATTTTTAATCAAATTAATTTTCAAATTGATTTTTATCTTGGTACATCGTTCGAAAAATCTAAATAAAAATATGTTGATTATAGTCCATATAAAATTAAAATGACTAAACATTTTTACTTATACTTTGTATGCATTACAGGTAAATTATTTTTAAGATTTCAAATAAGTTACTATCATATACAAGATAAAACCTTAATAATAAAATATAGTTCATGGGAAGTGAATATCTAAAATTAAGAAATGGATCATAAATGATATTATTATTATTATCATTATAAATGATAAAAAATCATTCATATCATAAAATCATTTCACGAAATTTGTTAATAAACGAGCATTTGTTAATAAAAATACATAAATACTCTTGAATAAAATCAATAAGATTTTTTATTTCAGCAGGCTAGAAATTATTCTGCAAATTTTAATTCAATTACTTTATTTAATATGAATACTCAATTCATGATATATAGATATTTAACTCTTAATGGTTTCACTTTTCAACTATATTTCGATATCAATTTCTTAATTTATATAAAAATATATACTAAAATCAGTAATACATATTTAAGGATTCAGTATTAATTTCAACTGTTTATGGAATATTGCATTACGATTTCTTTTCCAAATGCATAAAATTGTTATTTGTATTAAAAATCTGAATTAAAAACATTAATTAAAAGCAAGAATTAGAAAAATTAAGAAAAATAAAAAAAGTATTGAGACACATAACTCAAATTTTACAAATCAACTTGTATAACATCTTTTCTCTACATATGTATTATACTCTAATAACGAGTTGAATAATTAAAAAAATTATATATTATTCTATTTATTTCATTTATATATACTTTAAGTTAATCTACTACACTACTCTTTTACGATTACTAATCAATAATCGAAGATTGTATGATAATTATAGAAGTTAAAATTAATCCTACTATCTGTATAATTGGTTGTACAAATTAAAAATTTCTCATTGTTCCTCATTCTAATACTTATATATTTCCATATTTATTTGGTTAACTTTTTAAATTCTCTTAAATGATTAAAGACTTCTTAAATATTTATATAAATGAAGAGAACAATGAATATTTACAAATTATAATAATCTAATGGGAAATATTATCATAGAATATATTTTAATTTATTCTTTTAGAGTATTTGATATTTCCAATATATTAATTAATTTAAAAAATAAATTAGTTTTACAATAA